CGCCCCCCGCCACTTGAAAGTGGCGGTGATAGTCGTCAACTCCAGAGCCCCACTTGTTGAAAGCTGATTGGAAGGAGTCGGTGAGGTGGCTGACGGAGGGCGAGTCTGGCCACCACCCGGAGTTCTTTTGAAGGATGCTGGACACTGTTTGAGAATAGTGAGTGTCTGTGTCACCTTGCGCTAGGTTTTCTGAGGGAGCAGGATGTGCTACAAAGCAACATATATACATTAAGCAACAAATGAATAAGAAATATTTGTTTGTTTCTTTTAGGTTTTCTAAACTGAATTTGTTTATATCCTTTCTTGATGTAATTTAAAGTATAATTTGATATTAATATACTAAATTTAAGCCTATATGTATTTTTTTTTTTGCTATGAGGATATACATGGACCTCGTACAATTTATCCAACTCCCACCACTCAGAAATTAGTAAACTCACTTTAAAAAGATTTTTAACCTATCTATCACACACATTTGATTCAGAAAAATAAGAGATAAATAAATAAAATTAATTTCAATATTGTCAATATAATGATTTTGCACCTTAATATATAAAATTCGCTTTCAATATGATATGTAAGTAATTGTCATAAACATTAATAATTTTTATTTTTATGATAACCTATGAAGTATTAAATGTTGGTGCAAAAAATATTCGGAATATTGAATTTGATAAAAAGGGTATATGAAGAAATGAATTTAATATCTTTAAAATAAAATGATATGTAAAGTATGAAGTTTTTCCAAAATATATATGTTGCACTGATATGCATGCATAGAGATGGTGAATAAAGATAGATTGTTACATTATTCAAACTTAGATAAATTTTGTTAAGAGATAAACTAAATGTGTAACTATTTTTTAATTAGAGCATCACAATTTTATATTGGTTACCATACTTTTGATTAGATACCTTTCTATATCTATGATACTATTATTGTTGAAATGAATTAATTTTTTTGAGTAAAAAAAAGGTTGCGGGCAAGTTTATGCAGCGGGTAAATAATCCTTCCATATGTATTTATATCTTTCAACTTTCAAGCATGTAAATTTAACCTGAGATGAAAGATTATGAATTTATATCTATCATTTTCAACATTCAACCGTATCCTTTTGGAAGACTATTTACAATGCATTTATATTACTTTAATAATATAAATTTTGTAAACTATTTTCTCACCAACGGATGGGGAGTTGGGTGCTTGGAAACAAGTTTCTTAATTTGGAGAAGGGGGGGGGGGGGGGGG